CCCCCCCCAACCCCCTACGTCTGTATTCTATCCTCCTCGCGTTAGGGCGAGGGGGGCATTGAGTACTCAACCGAGAAGGATTAATCCTCCACCCAATCTCTCTACCCCCTCTCTCTCGCTCTCTCTATACGTTTAAATGTAAATACATGCATAATTAGTTCCCCTTCATTCTACCGCTCATCTGCTGCAATGCATACTCTGAGCAGAAAGCTCTCGGTAATCTCTATGTGAGCGTCTAGGGGTATCGCCATTTATAGTTCTGGGGGAAACTCTCTCACGTAAAATTCTCTCTCTCTAGCTATGGGCGCCAACTAGGAAGCTGTTGGCCAATGCGACGCGCCCACCTGGGGATGCGCTAAGCAGTAAACTATCTGCACATGACACATGTCCAACCCAGGGAGAGAGGCCCTTCCCTGCCCAGTGGTCGTTATTCCCTCCCTCTCTCTCTCTCCCTCTCTCCATCCCTCCCTTCCACTCTCTCTCTCCCTCTCTCCCTCTCTCCCTCTCTCCCTCTCACCTCCTCTCACTCTGTCACTCAGTACCCGTCTGTTCTCTCTCTCTCTCTCTCTCTCTCTCTCTCTCTCTCTCTTTTCGCATGCTCTCAATACCACAGAATTTTCGAATCCCGCCTTTTTTCCAGGCCGTTGCGAGCCTCCTCTCCTCTCAGTGACGATAAAAGCCGCCGTGTTGAAAAGCGCGCCTCCACCAGTTTCTTCGATGAGCACTTGGGATCTTCTTGGGATCTTCTCTGCAATACCGTCGTCCATCATTCCCTTCCTCTTGCGCTGAGTGGCAACTGCCCGTTCCGCCTATTCCCTCATTACAGTATCATTGTCATTCGTGTTTGCTTCTTTGTCCTGATTTCGACTCTGTCTATCAGCAGACTCTTTTCTCTTTGTCATCGTCCTTCCTCTCTGTTCCCGCCGTTCCTTCATCACGATAGTCGAGACGAACGTAGTCGTCTTCTTCAGTAGCATCGCCGCAGCACTCAACACAATCAGATTCACCCCTGTCAACCAAGTCTGCTGACATCGCCCTTCTCTTTTCTCCCTTTTCCCATCTTTCTCACTCCTACCCTACCGTCTTCCCCCGAACATAACGCATCCTAAAAATGAATGTATACAAGCTATGTTTCCGGCCAGATACAGCCAAAATGAGGGTGCGTTGTGTTCGGGGGAAGACGGTAGTAGTTCTCACCCTTTGGAATGATGCCACGTGTCATTCTGTGTGGAAGGGGGGAGGGAGGGGGGTGGGCGAGGGGGGGGCGGTAATCGCATATCGATTTTTTTTCTACAGCGACATGACCGTCAACTGGATGACCATCCTGCTTACCTTCTTCATGGCTTTCTCTTCTTCAATATTCTTTTTTTTTTTAATTTCCTGCCCGCGGAGGCTCTGCCCTATCACACAGCCCCATCTCAGTTGTTGGCCGCATTTCGACCGAACACGTGGTCATCGTCTCTCCTTCCCTCCCTCTTATCCTGCTCACAACACTCGTTTTGCTGATTCACGTCGATGCTCCCCACATCCTCCCACATGTCTGCTCTAGGCGGTTCACTCTCCCTCTCTTGATCTTCATTGCGCGTTGAAAGTGGCGGCGGCGGACCCCCTCCTCTCTCTTTCTATCCCCTCTCAGTCGAAAATTCCGTGAATGGAGTGCTCCTCCAGAGGTAAGGAGAAAATGATGGCTATTGTCGTGTAGCTTGCCATGGGGTCTCCCCCCCAGCGTCTTTTGCCTTGGGTCTTTTGCCACCATATAGCCAGGTGGCCTGTAGGGTTTTGAAGCGTGAGACGCCCATTGGACACCCACCCACCTCAGCTAATAAGAATAAGCCCACATCTCGCCTGAACCCCCTACAGGCCACCTGGCTATGTGGCGGCAGAATTCCGCAGTCATCGTCAATCGCAGCTGACGTTGATGCGCGAGCCCGTCGTGCACAAGGTTAGGACGCGGCGCTGCACCGCAGATGCGCTCCCTTTTAGCTGCTATTGAAAGAGAGAGGAGGAGGGGCGATAGAAAGAGAGAGAGGAGGGGGTCCGCCTCCCACCCCAATGCCAAAAGGAAAGGAATCAACGACTGATTTCCGGTGATCGCCATCTGTCCTCTTTTCTTTGTTTAGTATTTTCGCGGTCTAGGGGATGTTCTCTGTTTCTTTATGCTATTCTTTTTTCTTCATTTCGGATTGGCTTTTGTGCTTTTGATTCCCCTTCCGCACTTCACTCGCGCACCCACCCCCCGCCTTTTTCTCTGTCCCTTTCTCCCTTCCTGCCTGCGGCTCACTAGGCAGTTCTTTATTACCATATATATCTATATTTCGATATATCTACATTTTGCGCTCTGATAATTTTGTGACAATATATCGTCAAATAGAACTGCCGGCAGAGAGGGAGAAGAGGAAGAGGACAACAAACGACGGGCTGTGACAGACTTTCGTCGGAGTTTCTCCGACTCATCAAGAGGAGGCTGAATCCTTAAAAACAGTCTTAAAAAAAAAAAAAAAAAACACAGTCTGCAGAGTCTCCTAACCGAGGATGCTGAAAGTGATAATCTTTCTCTCTCTCTCTCTCTATATATATATATATCGTCACACCGTGTATTGGAGCGCAAAGGCGAAAAAAAACACAACACAGAAAAAAGGAAAGAAGTAAGGAAGGAAAGCTCCACCTGGTCATCACCTCTGACGTACAATGCCGGCCACGTGGATGACAGGTTGAGCATCGGCTGCCCCCGTCCCCGTGTGTCACAAGGACCCACTTGCACGCAGCCAAAAGGCAAAAAAGAGGTAAAGAAAAGGAGGAAACTAAAACTC